ATTACGATTAAATAATATTATCAGTGGACTTGAAGAAATACATTAACAAAATCTTATTCATTATGATATTCATAATGGTAATATTTTAAATAATAGAAATAATATTTTATCAATTAGTGATTTAGAATTATGTAAACCTGCTGATTACTATCAATCTTTTAAAACAAATAATATTTATGATGTTCTACCATTTGTAGCTCCTGAAGTTTTAAGAGGTCAACCTTATACTTTAACTAGTGATATATATAGTTTTTCTTTAATTATGTGAGAATTTACATCTGGAATTTATCCTTTTAATAGTGAAGCTTATGATTTTCAACTTGGTTTAGATATTTGTAAAGGTAAACGTCCTGAGATAATTAAAAATACTCCAAAATGTTATATAAGTTTAATGAAAGATGTTGGGATATGGATCCATCAAAAAGACCAATTTCATTAGAAATCAAAATGGTTATTGAATATTGGTATAATAATATCAGAATGAGAAATTTTGATAAATTATTAAAAAATGATATTAATATTGATTTTTATAAAGCAGACAAAGTATTAAATCAACAGCTAAAAGATAATTCTATTAATTACAATTTAACTATTAAATCGCATCCACAAGTATATTGTACAAGCCGTTTACTTGATTTTACTGGAAGAATAAATGAAGTTTTAGATTGTAATATAGAAAGTAGTCAATCTATCGGTAATTATTTTGAATTTTTTAAATTTATTAATATTTTAAATTCAATTTTTCAATTTTAAATAATATATTTTAATTAAATAAATTAAATAGAAGCGTTAAATATTATAAATAATGAATAATAAAGTAAGTGATTTATAATATAAATAAAATTCTATATATTTATTTAACTTATTTACTTTTTAATTCTTATATTAGATGAAGCTTTAAAATCTATTTATAAATTTATTCAAATTTTTGTATTGTTTTTTTCTTATAATTTTCTATATTATTAATTTATTTAGTAACACGATATATAGTAGTTTTTATACAAAAAGCGGTTGTAATTAATTAAACATTAAAATTTATAAATTATATATAAATAATAAATAAAATATGAACTAATGGTTTATTAAAACCTATTTTAATTAAATCTTGAGTTGTCAATTAAATATATTACAGTATAATGAAAATTAATAGAATTTAACAATCAAAACTAAAATTTCTTCGAAACTTTATGCTGAATAACTAATTATCTCAATATAAATAACCTTTAACTTATTACAAAAATTTTTTTAAGCTAAATCTGCTTTTATCATAATAGTTATTATGTATATTTTTTATTGATGATTTATAAATTAATATTATTTTAATGCAATACATACGTTAGCAACTTAATTAATATTTATGTATGTTAATACAGCGCAGAATAGCGACATTAATCTTACTAAATTGATCAAATATAATATATATCATCCTAGTTAATGTTACTATTGTAAAAGTTAGAATTCGCTTGGACTTATCAAATACATTCTCACTAAATATGTCATAAAATTTACACATTCATACTGTATATACATTTTATTCTCAGATGTACACATGCAAATCTTTAGGAAATTATTTATACAAAATATAAATAAAATTTAACTTTTTAACGAGTTGTTTGGCCTTCATTTAGTTTCGCCCAATGGCCTTAAAGGATTTCTTACATCCTAATTATAGGAATTCGCAGGTTTAAATGGATAGAGTTGAAGGTGCTCAGATTTTTTTAAACTTTTAAAAAGAAACAGATTTGCTGATATTTGAGATCTAATGAAGCTTCTCTCAATAAGATGGAGGTTAAAATTTGTAAACTCTAATAAAATTTTAATTTTAATTGATTATTCATATGTTGTTAGAATTAAATTATTATTATTAACGTAAACAATTTAATTGAGAAAATGAATATTTTCAATACCGTGAAAATTTTTACGTAGCAGCACGGCAAATTTCTAGACTGATACACGTTACTTTTAACAATCTCTTAAATGAACGTTCGGTACATCAAAGTCTGAATGAATTTCAAAAATTGTCTTTGGCAAATACTTATCGCTTATCTAAAGAGAAATGTTGCTATAATTTCTTGAGAAGAATAAGAAACTTAAGAATCTATGACAAATGCTTTTTATTAACTAAGATCAACATGATTGTATTTAGGGGCTAATTTATTAATTATTTTATTATCAAGGCTAGGTTATTTATTTCATGTTCATTTGCCAACATACGCTCAATCCTACCTTCCTTGCTCGCTACAAGAAATGATGGTCAAATTAATCCTTGCCATGTTTAAAAAATATTGAATATTTAAATGCATGATCCTTTAGAGATAATAGCGTTCAAAATAACCGTCTTTCTCTCTTTATCTTTAGATCGGATAAGTCCATAAGTCAGTCCTATGCTCTAAAATTGTTATCGTAACAACCCAGATATAATACGCTATAGTTATTATTATTGATATTTTTCATGCAATTAGACGCGTTATTAAAGTAGATGAAAAAAATTAAATCAAAAAAATTTAGTAGCTATAACTAACCCAGTTAACATAATTTAACATATGTCGAGCTTTTGAATTTATTTAAAATATTAAAAATTAACATGAGTTTGAAGTGTCCGGGGTAGAAAGATTTTAAATTGTAACTTCGCGAAAAGAGTTTTTCTTTTAGAGATCTGATACCTGAAATTGATAAGTATTTTTTTTCTGTTATTCATGTACTTGTTATAAATATTGCAAGATCTTCTATTATAAGTATTGTCATCTATTCCTTCAGCTTTTAATGAACTTCAAACCATAACTAATAATGATAAAATTGAGTAATCGAACATCAAGAATTAAAAATGATGAATCGAACCTATTATTTGAATGTTCTTACATCTTCAACTCAATTGGATTTGCACTTATGTCGTCTATGTATATACAATCATCATATTATCAAGGAAAAATAGTCTGCATTCATTATATCAGCCGTCGTGACACTATTGTCACAATTTTAATTACCTACGAAAATAAAAATAATAATAATTTTTGAATTTGGATCATTTTCATTACAATTATAAGATTCATTACTAATAATTCTGAAGTATGAAGGTATTGCGTTTAACTATAAATGATAAGTAATTATTAAATCAAATATAATTAACCAAAATTAGAAATTTCATGGCATTTATTTTACATCCGGCAATATGTTAAATTGGGTGGAATAATATATGTCATCATAAAATATCATTAAACTTCCTTGGTTAACTAATAGCAAATGCCTTTCAAAAAATAAGATTTATATTAAAATTTTGAACGCGAATAATTTTTTTTTCTCTCAGACTTTTTAAGGAATACCAAAATAGCTCACCATTGGCTGAACTCGTCTAAAATATAAAATAAAACAACTTGTTCTTCATCACTTATTTTATTATGAATTTCCAAATTTTATTACAATTATAATTTACCTACATGAACGAGGAATTTTTTTAGAGCGAGATCAAAATCATTTTTGGAATGAAATTTTATTTTTTATTTATCACAAAGATTAACGCGCTGTAAAATAATTGAAATGATGCGATGTTTGATTACACGAACCAATAAAGTTTAGAAATCTAACTTTTATTATATATATAAGTACATCTTTATAAAGGCTGATATATGATTATGCGTTTATTGTTTTTATTAATAAATGTTTCGTTAATGGCACAAGTTAAAGAAAAATATTTGCGACATAACCTTTTTATCAGTGATGGCAAATGACCAGGTCATTTGATAATTTTGAAATGACCTCTGAATGACCAGCGAATGACCTTAGTCATTTGAGGTCATTTGTCATTTGGTCATTTAAATGTAATACAGGCCAAATTCTATATGCTGGCCAGAATTAAAATTTATATCACATGAAATATTTATGAAAACGTTCGAATCATTAAATTACATTAATTATTTTGGCCAGAATTATTGAGATCACATGTTATAATTTTTAAATGACAAGGTCATTTGTCATTTAATGTTGGAATGACCCAAATGATACATGACCAGTCATTTGAGTCATTTGAGGTTATTTGGGTCACTTGCCATCACTGCTTTTTATTACATACTCAATAGCTTCTTCAATAAATTTATAGGACATTATTATCAACTTGAACGTACAAGCTCTAGACATGTTAAGTTAATTCAAGGTTTATTTATTTCTAATTAATTTTTTAAATATCCGAATATCCTCATCATAAATCTAAATCGATTAGGTAGATATCAATTGAAGCAAGTATATGAATTACTCCTATGTTTTGGGAGACTGACTCTGTCAAGAATAAAGACATATAAAGCTGTCCCGTACTGGTCTCTTTATTTATTCTAACAATGCAAACACAGCTTTTTACTGAATTTCCAACAAAATAACTTTCTATAAATCAAGAAATACCGCCGGCTGTTTTTGGAAAATGATTCAGGGAAAAAAACAAGGAGAATAATTTTTGAAACATTAAAAACATTAAAAATGAAGTTATTTAGAAAACTTTGGAAAAAAAAATTTTAATTGAGTACCGAAAATGAAGTATTAAGCCAAACAATAAAAACAATTCCTGAAAATGAAATTTTCTTTATCGTCATTTGACAGAATAGCTTAAACAAGATAATCAGTGATGGTAAGTGATCTAAATGACCTCCAATGACTAAATGACAAATAACCAATCATTTGAAGGTCAAATGACAAATGACCTAGAATTTATGTCATGAGGCCTTGTAATTCTGGTCAAAATTGTCTATAATTTCATAATTATTTTCGTATACTAATTCTTGCCGACTTTAACTTTGTATTATGTTTAAATTTGGCTGATATTGTAAATGACTCAGATGACTAAGGTCATCATTTTAAAATAATCAAATGACCTAGTCATTTGCCATCACTAGAACGATTTGAGCGTGTTAGCTGATTTACCCAGGTATCCGACGAGGACGTTAGTACAAATCGCAGCCCAGAAAAAAATGAAGCGTTACGTACCAAGTAAAGACCCCAGTTCATACATAGGGAGAATGCCTTTGGGTTTCCCTCTTTCATGTCCTACTTGGCGTTTGTTTCCCCAGTTCTGTCCTTCTGGCGTTTGTGCCAGTTATATGCACTGGAATTTGGTAACCTGATCGAAACACTTTGACTGAAAGAACGTAACCGAACCTAGTTCAGAACTTTTTGCAGTTTTCCAAGAAAACTTCTAGTTTTTAATATACATAGGGTGAGGGAGGGACACAAAAACAGAACGTGCTTGCGAAAAACTGTATTCGCGAGAGGAGTGGAGAGAGTGAACAGAGGAGAGAGACAAAGGACAAAGATAGATATTGAATTACAAAATATCAGTTGTACATTTGAATTCAGTATAAATTTTACAAAAATGTAATTTTTTAAATTTATTATATAGTAATCGCCATTAATGAGCCGCTTTTTTGGAATTGGTTAAATCTCAATGGTAAATGACTTATTGTATTGCTAGCTGCAAATTTTCTTTCTGAATGTAAGTCATTCGGATAAGAATTTAACATAAAAAAATTTTATTTTAATAATCTTATTACTTAAAAAGATACTTAGTATAGAGGATACCGAAAAACTTGTACCATTTTGCTTAACTTTATAAGTATAAGGTTTATTACTTTCTTCTTTTTTGCCTACACTAAATTATGATACGTCAGTTACTAGATAAGGTTTAAACATTTCTGGCGTTCTTATGGAATATGTTATGCTTAAGCTTATCGGCTTTATTTATGGATGAAGTTTTTTTTAGCTTACATGATGTTAAACAAAAAAAAAAAATATTGCGACCTTTCTTTTTCATTTGATTCCTCCGATAGTTTCGAAGGTAACAAGTGAGTCACTTTACTTTTTCTTATTGGTTTTTTGTTTGATTGCGTCTTGCCTGATTTCATATCCTTCTTTTCTTAAGGTACAACGGTTTTTTTTTTTTTTTTTGATTATTTCATTTAATTATTTTTTTTTTAGTTTCCTTAGGTAATTTGGATCGCTTCAATTTGCATAGCCAAGATTTATTTTTTATTTTAGGTGATTGGATACTGCGGACTGTAGGATTTTTTTTTATTCTTTAACTTCCATTTTCGGTTGGCTTATTTAGGAAGTAATCTAATTTGTGCCAATAGATTGGATCTTCGCTCCCGAAATTGGTGTAACATTAAATAAAATACTACCGTGTGCAAATTAAATTTCCTAGGAAATTTAATTTGCACACGGTAGTATAAGTATCGTGGGAATTTTCATATTTAAAAACTTTCATAAAATGGAACTTGCAATTACAAATAATGAAAATCCTTCTCAAAAATTAATATCCAGTCCTATACCAATTACGTTTATTCCTTTTAACTACATACGGAAAAATAAATGTTATTGTGGAAATGACTACTATCAGTCACCTTTTTCTAACCAATATTATTGTAAAAATTGCTTGTCCAAGTATATTAGTTGCATAACTGATAATTATACGTATTTGGATCTACTTATAGTTACAAATGATACTTATTGTAATAAACATGAAGCTAGGAATGCGGATTTTTGCACGCAAGACATTCAAAAATGGTGTGAAACATGCTCAGATATTTTTTATTTCAATCAACTAAAACATAGTTATTATCATCGTCTTATACATGAAAAGTATTTAAAAATATTTGAAAATAATAAGGATTGTAAATTATGTGGGAATTTAGTTTATCAGGAGGTGCCGAAGAATGTGTCCAATTATTATAAAGTTGACGATCAGATATGCTCAAAATGTTATCAAATTTCTTCTGGTTGGATAGAATCGACCTCAACTAAAAAGCTTATTGCAATTCTTTATTTACCATGGTTGGATGATAATGGAGTATGTAATAATTGTACTACATTTTTAGCTGAATTATCTGATTGTCACAAATGGTGCACATGTTGCCGTGTAATTTATTCTGGATGTAGATATTGTTTAACAACAAATATTATTTTTGGATTAACAGATCAATCTCAATGTAGGAAATGCAAAAGAATATCATTTATTCGTATTGATACATATTGTTTAAGCAGTGGAAATAAAAATATAGACGAATTTCTTAATAACATAAGAGATGATAAACAAAATAATTCGATCGCTGATTATATGAAAAATATTACGAAAAATACTAATCCATTAAAAGTTTATAATTTTATTACAAGATTATTATATTCGGTACTAGAATGGATTCCACCTTCTGAAATTTCAAATTTAGAAAAAATATCAGAAGGAGGTTTTGGCACCATTTACAAAGCACAATGGTCTAACGGTATACCGGAATATTCCAATCGTAAATCTGATAGTGCATCTCGATACAATAGAACTGTTGCGATAAAAAGGCTTCGAAATTCAAAAGATATTAGTAAGGAGTTCTTAAATGAGGTGATTATTTAGACTTATATATTATCTTAAATGCGAAATTTAGATGTAAATTAACAAATTTACATTTTTATTTTTTTAAAAAATCAGTTAAGTTCGCATTATATCTGTTCCTCTGATCATAAAGTTAGCCGTATTATCAAATATTACGGTATAACAAAGGATCTAAAAACAAATGATTATGTGATAGTAATGAAGTATGCAACAGGAGGAGATTTCAATAAATATTTACAAAATAATTTTACAACGATAACATGGAATAAAATGAAATTAAGATATTTATGGCAAATTCTAGAAGGGTAAATACATAATTTTTCATTATTTTATTATATTATTAATTTTACAATGCTATTATATTATTTTAGGATTGAAACTATTCATAAAAAGAATATAATACATAGAGATATTCACAGTGGAAACATATTATTTTTTGAAACAAGAAATTCAAATTATCACTGGAAAATTGGAGATTTAGGATTATCGCAACCAGCGAATAGTACGTCATCTAATGATGAAATATATGGAATAATACCTTATATAGCACCTGAAGTATTAAATGGCGCTTCATTTTCAAAAGCTTCTGATGTTTATAGCATGGCCATGATTATGTGGGAACTTACGACTGGTTGTAAACCTTTTGCTAACTTTAATCATGAGTCTGAACTTGTTATTAATATAATTGATGGAAAACGACCTAAAATTACAGAAGATACTCCTGAATGTTATGCTAATTTAATGCAAAGATGTTGGGCTTTTGACCCTTTAGATAGACCATCAATAATAGAAGTTCGTAAAACTGTTGGTAGTTGGTGCTATGGTAAAAGAAATTATGAAATTGAAGAACAATTTAATCAAGCGGAAATAAAACGAAAAGAACTAATGAATTCAAAAATACTTGGTCCTGAATTTTCTGTAATGCATCCAAAAGCAGTTTTTACGAGTAGAGCCTTAAGTCCTTTAATTTCCAGGTCTTCATCAATAATTTCATCTATGAATTCATTGAATGTTAATCAAGGTACCAATTAATTAATTGATACTTAATACTTTAATAAAAGGATCAATGATGAAGGCCATTAAAATTAATTAGTTTTTTCTTTAGAGAGGATTTCTAAAGAATTTGAATTTGATATTCAAAGGTATTTAATAAATTAAATTTAACGTTTAAAGATTGTAAATAAATTAATATATATTTTTATATCTAGTACCTCGTCGACATCAAATCGACACCTGACGCATAATCAATATATTCCAAATTCTTCAGCTGCAAATTCAAGAAAACGAAATATAAAAGAATTAGAAACGATTAATAGTAAGCAATCTTTTATGAGTGTTTACTATAATGGTTCAATATTATTAAAAATTAACATTGACATTTATTTCTAAAAAAAAAAGAGAAGACTAGAATAAATTTATTTTGAACTAGGGTAATTAGAATAATTTATTGATCGTAACTTGTAATAATTGTTTTACTGTTTTTAAAGAAGCAATAAAAAAAAAGGTTAGTCATTATTTATTTATTAATATTTAATATTTCAATTAAACAGTCACAAAATAATTTTTTTTTTTTTATAAATAATAAATAGAAAAATATTATTTATTTTTTTTTATCGAATTCTAATGCAGTGTTATAAACTTATATTATATCAATCTATTTTTTATAATGAAATTTCGCATAAATGCGCCACTAGTGAAGTCATTCCTTCCCTCGTTGCTTTGGCTTTGTTACTTGATAGGAAGTATTAATATATATTCTCTTCTCTTAAGTCATATTACATAATGTCGGCTGAGGCTGTAATAGTTGGATTATTTGCATTTTTTTAAAACCATTTTTATATTCTTTAAATTTCGAATGTTATAACTTACTAAATTCATTCAAAACATTATTACCTAAATAATATATAAATTAACTCTCTATGAAAAAGGAAATAATACATTTTATTAATAAAATAACTAACATATTTATAATATATACTTTTTTTTCGACATATATAACTAACCATCAGGTGTCAACAGAAAATTTTTTATGAATTTATAAGGAGTATGGATATGCCATAAAGCAATCTTTTTGTGTCATAGTTGCTTTGAAGCATATATGAATGGTAATTATATCATTAAATTTTGAAGGAAGGCATTCCTATTAGAAACACTGTTATTTTATTTTATATCGCATTCCAATAGTATTTACTATCAATAGTGGCAAAAGACTAGTTGAGTTCGTACAATTTGACGAATTTGCTTTATAATCATTATAAAGGGTTTTAAATTTTTGAAGTTAAAATTTTCGTGATACAATAATTTTGAAATCTCGTAAACAATCTCCATTAATCTTGACACAGTAGTAATTTACCGCTGAGTGGATTACCTGTATTTCTCTCTAGTTAAAGAATAACTCGACATGTTACAATAAATAAATTCCGCCCAGATACACCATAATTTCTTATGTTCTGTAAATCGATATTTGCGGTTATTCCTGCCAGAATGGCAGCCAGGCTGTTCTAATAATTATTGTTTTATAAAACGAGCCTGAAATCCTTAAACAGCTTAATATACCATGCTCGTCCTTCTTGTATTGCCACGTACACCTTAAAAACCTTCCTTTGATCCCTTCGCGATATTTTCGCTTTCGCCGTTTTAACATTTTAATTTATTTTGTAATTTCGTTTATTTTTTAATTTTCGATTTTTCTTATAATTTTATTACACAATTTTTCGTAATTGCGCAGTTTTAATTAAATAGAGTTTTATTGATTGGTATTTATTTAGTTTAACATATTGACATTGCGAAAGTGTAGAGCGCCGACGTTATTGCAACACTGATTAATTTGATATTATTAAATAATTTAGCGTCAACATTACTTCATTTTTACTAATAAAAACCTTCTGCTTACATTAAAAACTGTTTATAAATACATACGAAAGAAATGAAAACAACAATATTA